TTCTTTATATCTACAAAACCACAGTTCAGATTAAAAACAAATTTGGAACACACAGAGCCATACGCAAGTTCTATTAATAGCTTATGCTGAATAAAGTTTTGCTCCTTGTTTATGACGTCACAATGTGAAAGTGACTTCACTATGCAGGTCAGTTGTGACGGAAAATGCATGGTTGTCTCAGTGGAACTCGTCCAACAAACGACTGTAATATTTATGGTATATTTTAAATATTTTTTCTATTTGCCAATATTGTCAGAATTACAACTTTAAAGAAAAAAAATTAACATACATATGTAATTCAATATTTTAGACCAATCTTTAAAATTATTTGATGGTCCTCCAAACTCAGGCTATGGAAAAATTATTTGATCCGTACTTATAGGTGAAAAAAAAATCCTGAAAATTTAAACACATGGTCGACGGAAGGAAAAAAATCGTGAAATCAATGGTATATAAAAAATAGATTGAGTCGGACAATTTCTAGGCAGAAGGGCGGGAGAAAGGGCAACCAAATTTTTATTTATAACAAGTGGTCTCATAAGGCTAGTACATGTTCCACCACATACATAGTAATGCAAAATATTTTAAGCTTGGGCACTATTTTGAACAAAGGATTTTCCCGGGGGGGGGGGGGGGGGGGGGGGGGGGGGGCTCGCACTCACTCTTTTTTGCAAAGATAGACAAAGCATATGCAATGGACCTTTCTTTGCAAACATTGTGCTCGCTTTATAATTTCAAAGAAACAACTTAACATATTTTATCAAACTTAGTATGTTCAATGAGTGAGAGCTTAATATTGATATTACAACGTTGTCAACATAATGAGACATGATGTGTTTTATGTCCAAACATTACTCCATACAGTGTTTGGGTCATTGTAAACAAGCGAGCTATTTATGTGAGGTGCCTGAAGGAAAACCTATAACTGCCCGTATATTCTTACCATTTTCAAATTAAATGCTAGGCATCCTCCTTGCAGCGCTCCATTTGAAAATAACTTCTATCGCCACAGAAAAGAGATCCGCTGTAAACACATATGTTTAGGACAATTTTAAAGAAACCTACAAATTATCAAGACTTGTTCCATGAAAAATTAAATATAATCATGGTAATAAACGCATCAATTCACAGCAGATATATGCACATGCCAACCACGTGCTAATGTGGAATGATATTCACGAGGAAACTCGAGCTATTAACAGAACAGTTTTTCCCGATTTGCTAGAGTGAGGTTAAAATCACGTTTTTTCATTCATCAGACGATGTGATGCAACAAATAAAAGAAGTAAGTGATATAATCTGATGATTATTACTTAAACACCCAATTTTATGTTAACGCCCCCAAAATCTACCTGATTCAAGATCAATACTTTACCGCCTGTCAATCATTTAAAAAACAATAGCTTCTGATTTAATTGACAGGCCAGCTACCCGTGCTACCTGGTAGTCTTAGTTTGTGTCCTCTGAGAACGATTGCCTGGTCACGCGCCAAACATTTTCATGTAGCCGCCTTGTATACACGGGGGTTAAAAAAAAGAATCTTAATTGGTAAAATTTTATTTTAAAAACAATTGAGAGTAGATAAATAAAACACGACTTCATAAAATATTTGCTTTTAATTTCAACGGCTATATTGTATTTTAGGCGATATGTGGTCCAAGAAATCTGCTGTATAATTTTGACCAGTGCGTGCACAGAAACGCTATTTGCCGATTAAAATTGGAATATGATAAATAGGAAAAAATATCTATCACAAACGGCACGGATAAAAAATCCCTTATCCGATGTTTTATCTACCATACTTATATATAATATAATCTATACCATGTTCCGTTGTAAAGTTCTGAAATGTCAGAAACAGCTGTCGAGTTTCGAGATTGTAACTTTTTGTTCGAATTTCCTAACATCTGTCAATACCCAATATTCGAAATTTAACATGAATATATACAGCCAAAGATCAATTCTTAAAAGTATAAAAAAAAAAATCCTGCAAACATAATAATTTTTCAACACACGAACACCCGAAAATGGTGATTATTTCGACACTATTGTTGATCAGAACGTAGACAATATTCCTATCGCGGTACGGTACATTGTATATGTTCACACGACAGATAGGCCTACCTATGAATGGAATATTTTTTTTATTGATATTTACACAAGTTTAATGTAATATAAGCCGTATGGATGCCGATTTGTATGTGAAACAAAATGATTAAATAATTGAAACACATAATGTGTAACGAAAAAAAATATTTCCACAAAATTTAACTATAAAACTCGTTGTAATAACAGAACAATAAAGCAATATCTGCAATCAAGAATTCAGTCTTTTCATGAATATTGATAAAGGAAGTGCGTAAACAGTAGGTTTAAATATAGACACTTATGTCCACGGGAAATTATAGACAACGAAGCACGTTGCATTTTGACGACGATTACAAATAAAAGGTTAATATGCGTCATAACAAAGTATAGATGGTTGATACTGATTACATTTAAAGCTAATTTATATTAATAGTAACACGCCATCCATGTAAAAGTGACCCTGTGGGGATCTGGGTTAGAATAGGTCCTCAGTACCCCTTGCTTGTCGTAAAAGGCGACTAAATGTGGCGGTCCTTCGGATGAGACCGTATAAACCGAGGCCCCGTGTCACAGCAGGTGTGGCACGATAAAGATCCCTCCCTGCTCAAAGGCCCTGAGTGCCGAGCATAGGCCTAAATTTGCAGCCCTTCACCGGCAATGGTGACGTCTCCATATCAGTGAAATATTCTGGAGCGGGACGTAAAACAGTATACAATCAATCAATCAATCCATGTAAAAGTGAGTTGTATCTCAAAGGGCTTACCTCGTTTTCTTGACGCCGTGATTATTTATCAATCTAAAAGTAGCGACTGCGTCACGTGGTGGATTTACTTAAAAATAGACATTATTCTCCTTGCAGGATAATAAATAACTATAATTTGATAACTTTATAACAAATTTTATTTAAATGGTGTAATTTACAGCATTTTCGTAACTTTTATTGGTAAACAAAATATATGAATTTTTTGCCGTATTTTAAAATGACGCACATTATAGCGTTTATTACTTTAATTAAAAAAAGATATGTATTCTTTGTAGTTCTACTCTGTGTTCTTTTCTTTGTCATTTTTTTTGAAATACAAAATTCATTCTAATGCTGATCATCTTAACGTTTTCCACAATAAGAGAGATAATGAAGAAAAATATAGAAAAAACTTTTTTATCATATTTGTCATTATCTTGATTATAAAAAAAAATAAAAAAAAATTATGCTTTATAAGTTTGTTATCGATGGATTTATCAAAACATATCAATAACTTACTCAGTTTTCTAAAAAAAAAATGCATACCAGAGACACTAATTAATCCCAGGATGAATAAACATCACACGCAAAAAAAAATCATTAAATATTTATTTATTTAAGGAATGAAGCTTATTTTAACTTATGTTATCTGGTGTAACATAACTTGGGGCAGTTTACGCTTTATAAACCGCGAAGCAGTTTATAAGAAAGCGTAAATTGCCCCAAGTTATGTTAAATCGGATAACATAAGTTGAAATTAGCTTCATTCCTTATAATCTAATTTCAATGTAGACAATGACACAATTTTTTTCCATTTTTATCTTCGGAAAAAGGCTTTAAATATCGCATATTTTAAAGTTAACGGCAAGCGGAGTGTTACGTTTTTGACGTAATTCATTGTGAATTAGGCAAGTTATGTTATACAAAATGGATAAAACCGTTTAACCAATCAAATGACGTGTTACAACTGAAATTAAATTATTTATATATAACTAAGGAAAATAATTCATTAAATTACTTACCTTTAAGATTATGTTTATCTTATTCAGAAGAATATTCCAAATGTTAAGCATCATATTCTTGTTATTTTGAGACCAACTATATTGTGAATTAAGGTTTGTAATTTTAAATCCCAACTCTTCAGTAGAACATGTAACGAATTGTTAGATAGAAAATAAAACTTTGTATGGAATCATCGGTCCATAAACATCTTTATACATTATTTCTTTTACAACGATGCTAAATGTTGATTATTGTAAACCGCATTTTTTTTATTTTTACAAACCTTGGTGACTTTTTACATGCTTAAAGCTGATCGTCAGCATTAAAAGAAGAATCATATCAATTTCTTATCTAATTTTTGAATAGGATCATCATGTTAAATTAATCATTGTGTTTGTGACATTTAGCGAGTTTTAAAGTAATATCATTAAGGTTTTAACATACAAAGCTAAAGTAATTTAATTTATAGCCATTTGTATTTATGCTTCTTTTTCCATCACCTATATCTCAAAAATACAAGCACACATATGAGTGTTGAAAAGAGTTTTATTAATCAAACATGCTAATATTCTGATAAAATTAAGTACTAAACTTGTAAAACTTTGTTAATAAAGGATTACAAAAGAGGAATTGTCAATGTAAAGAAATATTTATATTCAGTTTACCTGTTTACACATCTCATAAAATGCAAGTTGAATGATACAAAAATTACAAGGAAATATGTATATGCTTTATATCCACTAAACTGCATCACATGATTAATATATATATATATAGGTCCTTTGTTCACAAAAAATAAATGTCTACTTAACAAATCAATTCTTGATTATCACTAAACCCTGTTTTATAATTTCATTGATAAGTACTGAGAGATATCGTATTAATACATCCCTATTTTCCTCCACAAACATGTAATATATGTACTTCATACTAGTATTTTTTATGAAGTGCAAAACGGTTTGTCATTACATACACGTAGTTTAATATATACAGGACATCTAAACGCAAAAATGCTCAAAACATTTTTTAATGCACTTCCTAAAATTTATGCTGGCATCATACATACAATCGAAACAGGAATTTGTTATTCTAAGACATAACTTGATTAAGAAAACATTCTCAAAAAAATACACTGAAATATTGAACATCATTTGTAACACTTAACTAATGGATATGATACAGAGCTGTTATTGTTACATGTATTCAAAACTTTAACAAACAAAAACGACCATGAGTTTTGCTTACTTTAAATGCACTGTGTAGGTAATATTCACGTTTACCAAATATTTTAATTCTTGTTTTCTCCAAAGGAAACGTATTATTATAGTCATTCAAGGACATCTTTAAAAATTGATTGCTCGCCTTATCCCGAGTCAGATTTATATTAATTTGGGTCGTGTTTAGGTAGGTGTTTAAATCTTTCCAGATTACACCACATTTGTTGATGGGATTAGAGGACGAAATGAAGAGAAATAACTGTGCCTTGAAACATAAAGAGCTTTCGAATTGGAACAATTTTAGTCAGTCAGTAAAGAGAAGTCAACCAAACATCATTTGAAATCTTTAGCACTGTCAGTGGGGGATGAATATTCAGAAGTTTATTACCTGGTCAAATCATATAGAGTATCTTCTGACATGTTTCTTTATTTCTTTTAAACACTTTCGATATTTACGTACCCTCATTCTATTATGCAAGAAATTTATTTTGGAATTTTTGTTTTCATATATCAATTCCTTTGTTCTCTCTAAAGCGGACACACCCTCCCTGTCAATCAAACTGTTATACTCTTTGTATTTGACCCTCACATTAACTTGTGCCCCGGCATCAAGTAAGACACTAACTGTTTTCTCCTGGTAGGTGCGATCATAATTTAAAAATAAATCGCCATCAATTACTCTGAAAAGTAAGGGTTTGATATCCGACTGTTTTGTTTTCTGGCGAATAAAAATATCTTGGTTGGAATCAAGACCGATATGCAGCAAATGATTTAAAACATCACAGTCAGCTTGAAGTAATTTTTCGTGCAAATTACTTTTCATATCCCAGATTAGTTTCTTTGTTGACACCACATCATCCTTACTATCAGTAGCCACGTCCGCATGCCTAATATCTCTTAGTATGGTGAACAAATGCAGATTTTTTCTGATTTGCTGTTGTTTATTTTCTGATTTTTTAAAGAACTTAAAAATATTCATCCTGTTGTTAATCAATGCATGGTATAAAGGTGACATTCCAGATTTTGTACAAATTGTGCAGTCAGCACCTTGTTCTACAAGCATTCGCAATACAATGATGGATGGATTCTCGTTATCTACTGTCTTATACAGCGGTGTCTCCCCTTCTTGATTTTGTAAATTGACATTAGCACCAGCTTCAAGCACCGCCTTCACTATGTTTCCATTACCCCCTCTACATGCTGCCAACAAAGGCGTGTTCCATAATGTGCTTTGATTGATTTTAGCTCCAGCATTCAGTAGTTCTTTTACAACATCAACATTTTCAAATTGGCATGCGGCAGTCAGTGGAGTGTTATATTTACCTTGTAAATTGACATCAGCCCCCGCCTCAATCAGTTCCTTTACAATATTAATGCATCCATACTCACATGATAATATTAGTGGCATATTATCTTCATAATCATCATGATGTAAATTGACGTCTGCTCCAGCCTGTATCAACTCCTTCACTACATCCAAATGTCCCCCCTTGCATGCAGCTGTCAGTGGAGTGGTAAATCTACTCTGTAGTTTAACATCAGCCCCCTTAATAAGCAATTCCTTCACCACGTCTACGAATCCAATCGTGCATGCAGCTATTAATGGTGTATTACTAACACCATGTGGATTAACATTGGCTTTTGCATTCAAAAGCTCTTTGACTATTTCTAAGTTTCCTCTCTTACAAGCAACTATCAACGGTGTTTTGTATTTATATGGTTTCCCTGGATGCCGAGGATTGAAATTGACTTTAGCTCCAAATTTCAGCAGTTCCTTCAACACATCTATATGTCTGCATCCACAAGCCATAATTAATGGCGTTTTCCATACATATTTTGGATTAACATCAGCCCCTTTTTGAAGCAGTTCTCTCACCACACTCAGATTGCCATTTAGACATGCAGCTGTCAGTGGTGTGATATGAAGATAACCAGGCCCATTTGCTAGGAACCCCAACATTGTCTCTGGAGTGATGTAAATGCTAAAAAAACATGCGATTGACCGAACCATCTGTATATATTTTAAATGATCAATCCATATTTGCTGTGGATTAATTGAAGCCCCCATTTCAAGAAGATCTTTCACGAGGTTAAAATCTCCATCTAAACAAGCAGCAGTCAGTGGTGTATACCATTCTTTATTGTGTTGATTGATGTCAGCACCAGCCTCAATTAGATGTTTTATTAATCTTTTATCCTTTTGTTGTCTAACAGAACTTAATAATGGTGTATTCCCATCATCATCTTGCTGATTGACATCAGCTTTTGCTTCAAGAAGTTCTTTTATTAACGACAAATTTGGATGAGTTCTTGAACATGCATTTATCAGTGCTGTGCCGGTCATACGCAATGAATTGACATCGGCCCCAACTCGTAGCAGTTCAATGACCACATCGGAATGATTTTCACGACATGCAGCATTTAATGGCGAATCATACAGACCCTGAGTATTTACTTTTGCTCCTTCCTTCAGTAATTCTGTCACCACAGAAATGTGTCCTCCTGTACATGCAGCTGTCAATGCATCCATTGTACATATACTTCCACATTGTAAATTAATGTTGGCCCCAGCTTTTAAAAGTTCCCTAACTATAACCAATTCACCACACCTACATGCAGATATCAGAGGGTTATTACAATCCTTTTTTTGATTGACAATGGCCCCAGATTGCAGCAATATTTTTACTACATTTAGATGTCCATTTTCACATGCAGCTATAAGCGGTAAATTACTTGAAGACTCTAAATTTGTTGAAGCTCCACAAGTTATCAGCTCCTTTACAATACCTGAATATCCACCTTTGCATGCTTTTACTAGTGGTGTATCGAAATTACACTCTAAATTGACATTTGCATCCATTTTGCAAAGTTCTCTCACAACATTAAAATGTCCAGCACTGCATGCTGCTGTCAGTGGTGTATGACTATGACCCAGTTTGTTAACATCAGCTCCTACTCCTATCAATTCTTTTACAACAGACACATGACCAAATAAACACGCTGCTACTAGTGGTGTATTTTTTCTAAATAAAATTGCCCTAGAACGGTCTGCCCGATGAGAGTAGACATGTGGCGTTCTGTTGATTGAGTAGTTTAAATTGACATGTTTTAGTAAGATCCTAACAGTCTCCACATCACCCCCATAACAACTGAGAACAAGTAGGCGGGTTTGTTCTACCGCAGAGTTTTGAATGTTTTCTTTTTCATACAAGGATGCAAAGCTAACTTTTAGAGAGTCTGAAACAAGTATTTCATCAAAATCATCTAGCACTTTATTTATATCACTAGCATTGGTTCCCTGTTTCGATGTTTGATCAAGATTTATAAGATCAGAATTCAAATTTCCAAATAGTGCAGACGATGTTTCGTTGTGTAGTTCAGTTTGATGTATGATGTACCTAAGGATTTGGTGATGCCCATAGTAAATAACCCAACTGATCACTCTCACATAGCAAAATAATGGCATCAAAAATGTGTGTCGTCTGTCTAGCAGTAGATCCTCTATACAATCTTTAAACTCGTTGTTCTTTTTCTTATCATTTCCATCTTCTTCCCTTTTGAGTATTTTAGACATTTTCTCCAGTTTACTTAGAAAGAGCTTCTTTAATTCTACATATGGGTGTTTCTCTAGTACATTAATAAATGCTTTACACAACTGGTTGTCCTTTAAAGCATTATTCATAAACACGTCATACAGTTCATAATTTTCTATATCTTTGTACAGTCTCATAGCTAACATTGGATACAGGTTAATAGACACCATTATACACAGATCTGTACCCTCCCTGTTTTCAGTCTTTTCTTCACTGCTTATATCAGTTGCCTCCACTTTTGTTTCCATATTTTTCTGTTTTTGTGTTTCACATGTCTGAAGTTTTACATAGTTTGCTATATAACTACTTTTCATATATTCTATAATCAACTCTGGAAACTGTCTACCAAAGTGATATGCTGTTATTTCAAACATGGAGTCATGAACAAAAGTGAACTCTCTACCACGACGTTTTGTGTATGTCCCCTCCATTGCTGACAAAGCTTTCACAAACTTAAATGTATCTGTTGAAGTTGTAACTTCACAGCTTTCTAACACCCTGTGCTTCATTTCCTGAAAACATTTATTTTTCTCATCTTTTAGAATGTCTTCAGAAAGCATGTTGTTATTCAACGTGCACAACACCAAAGTTGCATAAAATAAACCGTTTCTTTGTTGCATTTTGTCGAATTCCTCGACAATGCATTGGATGGGACTGATAAAAAAACGTTCACCAGTGATTCTAAATTTTTCCTCATTGGAATATAGTTTACACAATAAAGGAAACATGCGAGAGGCTTCAGTAAGCATTGCAGGAGACAACAAATCTCTGTCTAACCCATGCTTTTCAAGAATATTTCTTTGGTCTTCTTCATTCAATTCATTCTCAGAGCTATGAAGCTTAATAGTATTTTGTTCATTAGTTAAAAAGGATTTGTGGCATTGGTTATAAAGGGTTTTTCTGCATGTCAAGAGAACCTTTGTTTTCACAAAAGACGGTTTTTTTAATTTTTCCTCATACTCTAAAAACGATTCTAACTTTGCTTTGTTAAAACCCAATACACCTACGACATCATTGATAACAAAAACCTGTGGATTCTGAGGATCACAATACTGTGTGAGGTCTCTAAGGTCCAATACAGGAACCACTTCGTATCCTTCCTCCTGGAGTATCAGAGCAATGTGTTGAGCTGTGGATGATTTGCCTGACCCTGGAACACCAACAAACGTCACATAAGGCTGCTCTCTCACCCTATGTAGCATTTCAGGGAACCCATGAGTTTCCACAAAAACCGAATCTTCTTCTTTCCATTTTTTGATATATTCTGTATCGTGTTGTGCTAAAAGATATAAAGTTTATTTAATAAAATATTTTGATTATTAATAATGTATGCAGAATTATTTTATTTCTTTGAGTTAAACTCTCCATATGAAAAAGGACTGTAGAATAAGTTTATATATTTCTGATTACGTACTCTCTCCACATTGGTATAATGGTATGTTAGAATTCCATTGGCATTTCATCATGACAATTTTTAAAATATATATGTTCACAGCTTTCGAAGAAATAGGATTATAATTTGTTTTTAAACTGTTAGGTAAAACAGGTGCTAAACTTTTTAGATTGCTGAAAAATTTAAATATCACTCAACTGCGAAGTACAAGATATAACAATGTATATTTTGGCTAGATGTAATATAATTGAAATATATCATCAGTCCTAAAACGTTTTTTTTTTACATTGTACAGATTTGCCAGAATTAATGCATAAAATACCTTTAATATGCACGGGGATCACGCAGTGTAATTTTTCAATGTTATCTGAAATACCAATAAGGCATTATGAAATCATGAACTAAACAACTTAATCTCAATGATTAGGTGTGAAAGTGCTTTTTCGAATTTCATTAATCAAGTTTTGTTATACTGAACTGTGAATTACCTGTTACCATTTGTATTTAAAATAGAACATTTTGCAAGGCTTTTCATAAAAAATCATGTTATTTATTTATTTTTTACTGTTTACCAACACTCGGTAGTAACACAACCAAATTTCATCTGCAAGTAAGTTGAAACTGACTAGCTATGGACAGGAAAATAATACCTTTGAGCTTAATTACTACCGGTTCCAATTAACGATAATTACCTGAAAGGTTTTCAACCCTTTTTTGTAATTCGTCTAAAAGTTTTTCTATGTACTTTTTCTCCGTATCAGGATCCATTGAGCACGTTTTGATTTCGTTAACAGAATCCTGAAGAATCGTGGTTGTTCCAAGGTAACCCTCTAACTCTACAATTATGTCATGAATATTCCTCCATTCTTGTCTAAAATCAGACTCCGCCAGGAAGAAATCTGACGTATGTCCATAGTATTTGTTCCTGATTAGTCGAATCCTTTCAATGTTAGCAGACACACTTCTATCTCCGGGGTTTGGTTGTTTTCCCCACCCAGCCGTATGTTCTGACATGTTGCTCACGTTCCGTAAAAGGAGATATAGAATTGTAACGTCAAAGTCTGAGTAATCTCTACTATATTGTTCCGTAGGAGGCGGGAAAATGATGTCTGTGTGTTGTTTTGAAAGAGGATTTTTTGCCTTACGGTTCTTAAGGCTATCTATCCAGGTCCTAACCGTCATTGATAAAGTAGAGGGAGGGATTTCCTTTCTGAGAATGTCACGTAACACATCTGTACACGGACCCAGGATAAGTCTGGCGACACGTGCCAGGTTTGTTGTCTCTGTTGTGGACGTGTACTTTGATAGCGACATCGTAGATCTTTACACTTGTAACCTGTGCAGTAAATTCATATTATTATATTTCTTAAAAATTAAAATATCAGGAGAACCGGGTTCGATTCTCGCAGCGCCGCGTGAATACTTAACATAGGTAGTGATTAATATTTTGCCAAGCGCTCGGCACTAGAAGTGAAAGACACGGATCTTTCAAAAAACGCAGGTTCTGTGTCACGGTAGGCGTTGGAATGATAAAGAATCCTCTCTACTAAATGGACCTGAGTAGCGAGTTTAAGTCTAAATTTGAAGACCTTCACCCGCGAAGGGTGAGTGAAATATTCCGCGATTTGGAGTTTAAACAATTTATAATCAATCGATCAATAAAAATATTCAAATGAAATGTATTTCATATAACTTATAGACATAACACTTGTTTTAGGTCACATTTTTCCTTAAAATGATGTGATTATTGATTAGTCTTTGAACAAACTAATTGTAATACTAATTGAAAAGAAAAAAATATCTTGTTATTTATTGTGCTTCTTAACTGCTGACGCCCGCGTTGCGCAGTGGTTAGAATGTCTGCTCTAGAGTCGCGAAGTAAGGAGTCAATCCTTACATCGCGGGTTCGAATCCCACTGCAGGACATGGAGACCAGTCCTTCGAATGAGTCCATATCAACCGAAGCCCCTTGTCGCAGTAGGTGCTGGCATGAATAAGATCTTTACTGTTCAAAGGCCCTGAGTGCCGAGCATAGGACAAAATTTGTAGCCTTCCACATTGAATAACATACAATAAATCAATCAATCTAAACCGCTGAAAGTCAATAAAAAGTTTTTACATTAGAATTATGGAATGAAAAAAGAAGAGTAAGTATTAAGCGTTTAGACGAAAGCTGTCTTTCAGGGTTGTTAACATGAGAGCAAGTAATATGGAACTCAACGAGAGCGTGTATTTTGCAAGTGTTTTGCAACATATTTGTAAATCAATGCATGTGCAATGATAATTAAACACTTTAAGGATGAATCAAATCTTACACGTAAGTGTACATGTAATTTCCTGCTTTTATCATTTTTTAAAGTCATTTAATTATTTGTTGATTTGTATTTTAAATCTCGCGGTAACTGCTTATGCATTTAGAGGAATCAAAGAAACATCCATACTTTTACATCTATGTGACACTGTAAACAATTAACAAGTATCAAGTAATTTCATTTGTTATTTTTTAAAATCAATAAAAATTTACTTATACATCCTAGAAATACATAAATTAATATATTATGAATTGCGATGTTGTGGTTTAATGTTAATTCTACTACAAGGGAATTTCGTCTACCGTATATTCTGATTTTCAGAATAGGAAGTTTATAATACAATTATAAATTAGTTTCTGATTATCCTAATATTTTTCCACAAGAAGTGAAATTATGAATGAAATTTCACAATTACATCTTTGTCACATTTATATCTTGCATATGCCAAAAAGAAAGATATTGATATTCGAATGTGAAGATGATAACGTTCAAGTCATAAATAACGCAACAACGCAACATTTTAGCATTATAAAATGAAACTTGCAAGAAGACATACAGCTATTTTTTTTTTATCTCAATACACGTAGTTTTGATTTAAACCTCGATCATGTTGATACTTTATTATTTCCTACAATTTCGTCTACAGATATTTTAAAAATTAACCAAGCTAACCGGTTTATTAAATTTAATGAATCATCAAGTCATTTCTTAACGAAGGCATTAGATTGTCTTTTACAAAACCTTCATTAGGGTCATAAGTAAATGAATCATTAAACATTTAAGAATAAATAGGTCTTGTATATACCTAAATCATTCTGGATTACAGCCAAACCACAAATAATTTTGATACTATTTTTATTGATGATTGCTGACAAAACACACTAATCATCTTTTTTGAATACAAGATTATTTTTTTCTTTTCAGATTTCAAAACAAAATGTATACTAGACATATACAATGAATTTATGATGAATAAACATAACAAGGTTTACATAAAAGAAGCATCAATTATTTTTGAATCATAAAATTAATTAAAAATTTTATTAAAGTACTTACTATTTTTTAAAGATTATTCCTACATTATTTCTTTTTCTTTTCATCGACAATTTTCGTACCATCTCTCTTATTTAAAGGACAACAATTGTCTACCAACAAAGCAGATAGATAATTTTGAATTTCAAATCTCAGGTCCTTGTATTTTTGAGACCCAATATCAGGTTAATAAAGGTTTGCCATTTTTAAATCCCAAATCTTTTGTACAATATATAATGAATTGTCCGGTGAAGAATTTTGTATGGACTCATTAGTGCACAAATATCTATACACATTTTTTTTTTAGAAAGATGCCAACTTTTTCAATAATTGCAGACCTTATGGGGTTTTTTTTCCTCTACAAAACTTGGCACCTTGACATTATCTTATTTGGGGACCCAGAATTGGGTAAACAAAATAATATAAAAATTGTTAAAGTTGTACAGAAATATATTAAAAAATCAAAAATATTTCATGAATAATTAGTGTAACCATTTTGTATCCTTTACAACCCCCGTTTTATTTCTTCTCTCTTTGCTACCCCATTCCCTTCCATTCTTTTCTCTCTGAACCCCTTTTCTTCTTCTTCTTCTTCTTATTCTTATGTTATTGTATTTTTGTTGTTTGTACATCACGTGTATATATTTTTGTTATTTTTGTTTGTGTTGGAGAGGACAATCTAAGTTGGCATAATTTGTGTCCAATCCCATTGATTGTGTTCAATAAAATATGTTAAAATCAAAATTGGCACCCTTTGTAAGCTTAATGGACATTTTCGGTTGGGTGAACTTCTACAGCTGTCAGCGACTATGGACAAAAACGTGTGGAAACCATGTTGTGCCAAAATGAAATAACAAATACAAACAAATGATATAATTTGATCAATCAAAATGATTATTAGATACATTCGATTCTGCGTTTCTTAATGGTTCAAAACAACAAAAAGTATTCCACAGAATAACATGTATAAATCTGCACAATATACCGAATGCCAAAACCAGAATACTACTAAATAATATAATAATATTCTTTACATATGAACCACAGTATGTCTGACCCCTTGAAAATAATATAAGAAATCTTGCAAGTAGGTTATCAGCATTGGCTCCAGCTAATTCGAAAGTGAAATTTGGAGTTTGGCAGTAAATTGTAGTGAATGAATAAAATTTAGTACTGATAGATATTGGAACCTATTTTACTTGCCAGATTTCTTTGAGCTAGTTGATTTTTATTCTAACTGTTCTATCCCCCCACCCACTTAAAAAAAACCGATGCTACCTACCTGAATAAATTTTTCTTAATGGTGTTCATCGAAATGCTTGGTTGTGCCCTCAAACTTGAATAGTTTTTAGAGGCCTGGAATTCCTTGACCAATTTTATTTTATTAGCCCAACTATATTTCTAAAAAGGCAAAGATGTATGGTATGTAAGTTTCATCTACATATGTTATGTATTTCATATTAAAAAACCAAAAGGGATTATTGATGATATCCCATTCAGGGTGTAAACATAGTAGTTTAAACTACTTTCCATACATTGTACTTGACATAAAAAAATTTTATATCTTTTGCGCATAATGCGTTCCATACTGAAGATCCGTAAATGTTCACCCAACCGAAAATGTCCACTAGCAGTACAGCACGGGGAAACTCTAAACAAACGGACCTGTACAGTGGAGAGGGGAAAACTTTAATTTTCATCATTGTTAATCATTTGTATGCAAATATGAGCATGGGATTAGTTGATGATAATGTACATAATGCATCAAGTCTTTCTGAGAGCGATTTAAAAAACTAGCCTTTTTGAAAAAAAAACACATGTAGTATTTTATGTAGTAACCCATAAATGCAACTCATTGAGCTGATTGGTCTATTTGTGTCCCTCACTGAACAGACGTCACAAAAAATATTTTCCTCGACCTGATGATTCTCGCGATGCTTTTCCCGCGCACATGCACAGATCCAGGATAAACGTCAGTCCTTTATAAATATGCATGAGAATATCGTGTTCTTTTCCTGATCAGTACTTTGTTAATACCGAATAAAATTACGTCGAATTTGCAATATTGCTTCATTTTCTGGTAGCTTATCATACTCCAGAAATTTTTTTTCGGTTTCAGCTGTGCAAAAATACTGTTTAACACGGCATACATATCTTTAAATGTATAGTTAACAAAGTAGTCGGCAATTGTAATTGGACACAGACCCTGACTTAATGACTTAATAGATCTGTACTGCTGATATTGTATTCATCATTTTGTACACGTCTGAATTATTTTGTCACAATTATGAAATATATATACTTAATCATTTTTCATGAAAACTTTTGTGTAGAAAAAGTGTCAATTTATAGTTATTTATACACACCTATTTATACACAAAGTATTAGAACTAGAGAACAATTGTAACTATAGCTCATACTGGAAACACTTCACGAAGTGCTGTTAGGGATAGTTTAAATATAATGTTTGACATAACGTTTCAAATTCATGTAGATCCGTTATCAAATGACAACAATTATATGAAGTCTTTTACTTTAAATTATTGTCTTGGTAAGTTATCCCTATTGTTCCTTACCACCAAGTGTAATATAGACATGTATAATATACTTTTTTTAAAGTTTGATTTTTTTAATTATGAAAAATGTTACCATGCATTGGTGATATATATCTGAAGAGGACAAGGTAATATTAAACAGAATATCTTCTGACATGTTTTTTAATCTCTTTGATAATCTTTTGATAGTGAGATATTCTGTACTTCTTCATCTCGACAGTCTCCTGAGAGCTTTTTTCTTTACATATAAATTGTCTTGTTCTTTCTAAAGCGGACACTCCCATTTTCTCTAACACGGAGGTTTTTTCTCTGTACTTCACCCTCACATTAACATCTGCCCCAGCCTCCAGTAACATTTCATTATTTTCTCTCGGCATGTTAATACAAATAATTCGTTATCAATTATTCGAAAGAGTAAAGGTTTTACGTTAACTTCATTATGTCCGTTGCAAATTCGAATTTTTTGATTTGAATCCAGGCCGATAAAGAGCAAATGTCTTAATATATCACATTTAGGTCGAAATAATTGTAAGAACAAGTCTTTTTCCACATTCCAGACTTGTTTCTTCGATAAAACCACATCATCCTTACTATCAGTAGTCACATCTGCATGTCTAATGTCTACCAGGATATTAAACAAATGCAAATTTACCCTTTTTAGCATTTGTTTATTTTTTGTCTGTTGCACTAACTTTAGAATATTTTGAACCTTGTTCTTAATCAGTGCAATGAACAAAGGCGATAGCCCAGAGTTTTTACAAATTGTACAATCAGCACCACTTTCCATTATTACATGCAGCTATCAGTGGAGTGGTATATCGACCCTGTAGATTTACAATAGCCCCATTACTGAGCAATTCTCTCACAACATTGACATGTCCACCCTCACATGCAGCTATCAGGGCAGTGGTGTTTTTAATCGGTAGATTAACATCAGACCCCTTTCTAATCAAATCTTTAACCACACTTATATGTCCTCCTTCACATGCATCTAATAATGGCGTCCTATAATCCAGTGGATTAACATTTTCCTTAAATAGCTGTCTGATAATTTCTAAGTTTCCTTTCTCACAAGCAACTTTCAGAGGGGATTTGTATACATTTGGTACATACAGGTTCCCCAAGGATTATAATTGACTTTAGCTCCAAACTCAAGAAGCATTTTCAACACATCAATTAGTCCATATTCACAGGCAACAGTTAGGGGCGTCTAGAACACATACTTTGGATTCACATTAGCCCCTTTCTCAAGCATCACTTTTACAATACAAACATTGCCATTACGACGTGCAGATGTCAGGGGTATTATGTAACCAGCAATCCGTCCATCTTTAAAAAAATCGAAAAAATGTTCCATAGGTACATTATAACGAGATGCTGTTATGGTTAACATGTGGACACGATGTTCATACCCATACCATAGGTCCTGTGGATTTATAAAAGCCCCCATTTCAAGAAGTTCTTTTACAAGGCTCAAATCACCAGTACCACATGCAGCTGCCAGAGGAGTATACAGATCTTTATTGTGTATATTGACATCAGCACCAGCCTCAATTAAGTTTTTTATAATACTTTTATCTCTTCTCTGTATAATAGATAGTAATAGTGCTGTGCTTCCTTCATCATTTTGATAATTGACATTAGCTTTTGATGTGAGCAGTTTCTTTATCACAGTTCCATGACCGCGACCAACTAGACACGCATTAATCAGTAGCGAATTATCAACACCTTCTGGACTGACATCGGCTCCAGCTTCTAGCAGTGTAACGACCACACTAAAATGACCACCACGACATGCAGCATTCAATGGTAAATCATGTAGACCTTTTGGATTAACGTTAGCTCCGGCTTTCAACAACTCCTTCACTACAAACAGACGGCCGCTCTCACAAGCTATTGTTAAAGGTGTACAATCCCTATCACAAAAACTCTTACTTTCAGAAGAATCATCACAATATGAAGTTATCATACGCGATATAAATTTGGATTTTTGATTGACATTGACCCCAGATTTAAGCAGCTCTTTTACGATATTAAGATGCCCACATTTACATGCTGCTGTAAGTAGCGTATACTGTCTATAATTACCAGAAATTCTTTCTTGCGTCGGCGCCCGATTGATGCAGTCGTCTAGATTAACATGGTTGAGTAGCATTCTAACAGTTTGATCGTCACGTCCAAAACAACTGAGTACTAACAAACAGGTTTGTTTTATGATAGCGTTACTGTTTCTGATGCTAAACCTTTGAGCAAAAGGCACAAAATCTACCGAAAGTGCTTCTCCCCATTTTTGATGACAAAGACCACCAAAATTAGCAAAATAATCTCCAGAAAGTGCTAATGTTGTTTTTTTTTGTGTAGCTCAATTTGATCTATGATGTACTTAAGGATTTTGTGATGTCCATAGTAAATAACCCATCTGATCACTCTCACATTGTATGTTTCTAGTTCGGGAAAGGTTTTTTTTTTTTATCCAACAAGAGCTCTTCAATACGCCTCTCAATCCTGCTGTTCCTTTTATCGTTCCAACTATGTTGCCTTTTCAGAATTTTTGACACGTTCTATTGGTTATATAGATTGATTGATCGATTGATGGAATATTGTTTAACGTCCCTCTCCAGAATATTTCACTGATATGGAGACGTCACGATTGCCAGTGAAGGGCTGCAAATTTAGGCCTATGCTCGGCACTCAGGGCCTTTGAGCAGGGAGGGATCTTTATCGTGCCACACCTGCTGTGACACGGGGCCTCGGTTTATACGGTCTCATCCGAAGGACCGCCCCATTTAGTCGCCTTTTACGACAAGCAAGGGGGTACTGAGGACCTATTCTAACCCGGATCCCCACGGGGTTGGTTATATAGAAAGAGAGACATTAACTCTGTACATGTTTTTGTCTTCAATACATCAAGAAATGCTTTAGACCACTGATTATCTTTCAATGAATTATTCATGAACACATCGTACAGTTCCATATTCTCTATATCTCTGTACAACCTCTCAGCTAACATTGGATACTGATTTTTAGGAACCCTTATACACAGATCTATACATTCCTTGCTTTCAGGTTTTTCATCACTGCTTGCATCAATTTCCTTACTTTGATTTTAAAACAAGTTCGTTATTGATAATTTGGTATTTCTGATTAATTTTATAATTGTATGTTGAATTACATGAAATCATCCCTGAAAAAAACATGTTTTGTTTTATAAATGCTTAATATATAATAGAAAATAACGTATTTAAGGGAATGACGTAATTCATCAAATTACCAAAGGGAGGAACTCTTCCCTCTACGTTTCCATTACACTGATTAATGGGACAAAGCTCTATGAATTATACAACCAGTTCTCTGTTGCTGATGAAACCAACAACTACACACTTTTCCTTGGAGGACCAGCTACCGGGACCCTGGGTAGGTAAAAGGAAAAATAATGTTCAAAATGTCAATCAATTAGTAGTATGTGTGTAAGAGAGAGAGAGGCTCTATTGTTAGGAAAGTATTAGGAGGAATACGTAAATATCAATGTTCCGCTAGTGACATTAAAAAAGAGTCCATGCAGTGTGAACCAAACAGTTTTAGAATTAAAAAAAAAAAATATATGTAATGTTCAACTCTTCCTTATTCTACTTTTGTAAATTTGTATAATCTAAATCAACCCCCCCAAAAATAATATAAAAGGGCATATTGTAAAACAAAACTCGGTATGAGAGGGTAATCGTTAAGTAACATAACAGCTGTGTTAAAGCATTTTGATTAAATCCCAATTTCCTCAAAAATTATTTTAATTAAATTTCAGATAAGTGCAGTCTGCATGTATATACGACAAGTAATAAGTAATAAATTAAACTAGGAATATATTGCAAAAGTAATTTAATTTCATTTAAAATAAAATTAAGATTTTGTTTATTTTTCTGTAAATCTTGGAAACCCTGATGTATGAATATACAGAACATCATTCAATAATAAGTTCAGCCAATGCGTAAACAATATCTCAATAATTAACTTAATTATATATTACCAGGGTGTCGCAGTGGATAGAGCGTTTGCTCTAGACTTGCAGATTAAGGAGGTGTTCATTACATCTTGGGTTCAAATTTCACTATGTGGCATGTAGACAAGTGCTTTAATTTGGATTGACTGTATGTTGTTTAAAATCTCTATCGAGAATTTTTCACTCATATTGAGAGGCCACTTCTTGCCGATGGATCTCTGCAAATTTGCAGTAAAGTGGTCTCTCAGGATTATTAAGCAGGGAAAGATCTGTTTCTTACCAGCACATTTTGCGATACAGGACCTCGGTTTACTCGGTCTCATCCGAAGGACCAGGGTGGGATTCGATCCGCGACGTACGAATCACGTCCTTACTTTACGACTCTGCAACACCGGCGGCCATATGCTTTGGACGAGGCGGTATAAACCTAGGAGATAGATTGATTGATTATATACTATTTAACGTCCCTCTCGAGAATATTTCATTGATATGGAGTCGTCACCATTGCCAATGAAGGGCTGCAAATTTAAGCCTATGCTCGGCACTTACTGCCTTTGAGCACGGAGGGATCTTTATCGTGCCACACGTACTACTATGACGCGGGGCCTCGGTTTATACGGTCTCATCCGAAGGACCGCCCCATTTCGTCGCCTTTTACGACAAGCAAGGGGTACTGAGGACCTATTCTAACCCGGATCCCCACGGGGTTGGTTATATAGAAAGAGAGACATTAACTCTGTACATGTTTTTGTCTTCAATACATCAAGAAATGCTTTAGACCACTGATTATCTTTCAATGAATTATTCATGAACACATCGTACAGTTCCATATTCTCTATATCTCTGTACAACCTCTCAGCTAACATTGGATACCGATTTTTAGGAACCCTTATACACAGATCTATACATTCCTTGCTTTCAGGTTTTTCATCACTGCTTGCATCAGTTGATTCCAGACTCGTAAATTTGTCATTTGTTTCAATATTTCTCTCATTTTCGGTTTCACATATCTGTAGTTTGACACAGATTGCAATGTAACTACTTCTCATTTATTCTAAAATTAACTCTGGAAACTGAGTACCAAAATGATATGAAGTTATTTCAAAATGGAATCATGAATAAAAGTGAATATTCTACCACGACGTTTTGTGTATGTCCCCTCCATAGCTGATAAAATTTTCACAAACTTAAATGTATCTGTGTTACTTTCAACTTCACAACTTTCTAAAGTCTTTTGCTTCATTTCCCCAAAACATTTATTTGTATCATCTCTAAGAATGTCTTCAGACAAAATGTTGTTATTTAGTGTGCACAACACCAGTGTCGTATATAAAGAATTTCTTTGTTGCATCTTGTCGAATTCCTGGACAATGCATTGGATGGGACTGATAAAAAAGCGTTCACCATTGATTCTGAACTTTTCTTCTTTGGAATGTAGTTTACACAATAAAGGAAACATTCGCGAGGATTCTGTAAGCATTGCAGGAGACAACAAATCTCTGTCTAACCATGTTTCCCAAGAATATCTCTCTGGTCATCTTCACTCAATTCATTCTCCGAGCTGTGAAGCTTAATTTTATTTTGTTCATTAGTAAAGAAGGATTTGTAGCACTGGTTAAAAAGAGTTTCTCTGCATGTCATTACAACCTTTGTTTTCTCAAAGGACAGTTTTATAAGTTATTGCTCATACTCTAAAAAGGATTCTAACTTTGCTTTTTTAACACCCAATACACCTACCACCTCATTGATAACAAAAACCTGAGGATTACTTGGATCACAATATTGAAAGAGATCTCTATAGTCTAATAGACTGATGACTCCCGAATATCTTCATAATTTATTTGAATTTCATTCCTCAACTTCCTATAACCTGCGATCTGAAACTAATTACGATATTAAATTACCAAAATTTCATACAAACTTATTCAAGACCTCTTTTCAGTACTCAGGTGTACATCTATGGAATAAACTTCCACAATACATTAGACTCTCTCAATCTTTACAAGCATTTAAACGTAATGTAGAAAATTACATTATCAGCTGTCGCTCAATAATTTGAGCATATGTTTATGATTGGCATATTTCTGTACAAGGACACTGTATTCATAATTTGTGATTGTAATTCCTATTATATATGATGAAATTGTATCTTGTATCTTTTGTAATTGATGTATAGAGGGCCCTGGGGAAGAATAGTGCATGCACTAACCAGGTTACCTTCTTTAAATAAAGTTTTATTATTATTATTTTATTATTATTATTATTATTATTATTATTATACAGGTACCACTTCGTATCCTTCCGAATGCAGTATTAGAGAGATGTGCTGAGCTGTGGTGGATTTTCCGGATCCAGTGACTCCAACAAACGTCACATAAAATTGATCTCTCACCTTCTGAAGCATTTTAAGAAACACATGAGTTTCACTTTACATGGCCTGGATATCGACTATCTGAAAAATAATCCCCTTTCGTCTTCATGTTCTTCTTCGCCCTATAACTATAGTCCTGCTGGACACGTTATTACAGGTGACGTAAAAATAGTTCGTAATGAGGACCTTAGATCACTTATTTTAAAAGGTCCTAAATATAATGAACCCCGATCCTTCAACTGGCGTCGGAATTTCATAAATATCATGGATTCTGTTGAAAATTACGCCAGACGATGGGCTAGATATGAAAAAGAAGACATTGACACCTTGTCAGAATGGATTAAATGTATCAGATCCATGTTAAAGTCACGTATTAAAAGATTGAGGGGCAAAATGAAAACCATCTATCCTTCTGTGTTCAATAAACCAGAAGTGAAAAAAGAATTAGATAGATTACACGATCAGTACGTACTGGTTCCTGCCGACAAAGCAGGTAACAACATTGTCTTCGTTTGTAAGGCTCATTATATAAATTGCATTCTAGAAGAACTTGGATTTAATGCTACAAGTGGTAATCCTACTTATACATATACTTCTCTTTCTAAGGAAGAAATTCTTCAAAATCACCTGTCAGTTTTTAACACTTTTAATATTCCACAGAGCCAAAATGAATTTGAACTACCTTATATATATTGGATTCCGAAACTTCATAAGAATCCTTACAAACAAAGATACATTGCAGGTTCCAGTAAATGTTCAACCAAGCCTCTTTCGTTACTTCTCACAAAAATATTGACAGTAGTGAAGGAAAAACTTCAAGAGTACTGTACAACTATATATTCAAGAAGTGGTGTAAATCAGATGTGGATACCAAAAAATTCTAAAAAACTTTTGGACAATTTGAAATCACAAGACTTTACAAAAATCAACAGCATAAACACTTACGAATTTTTCAACATTATACACAACAATTCCCCACGACAAATTAAAATCCAGGCTTTTGATATCATTGACAGCTGCTTCTTCAACAAAAATGGAACTCGTAAGTTTACTTACCTCGTCATTGGTCATTTGAAAAATTATATTTTGTTAAAACAGATTCTGATTGCACACATAAGTACTCTGAAGTTGACATCAAAAAGATGCTTGAGTTTCTGATTGACAATATCTATGTGGTTTTTGGAGACCAGGTATTCCAACAATCTATTGGAATACCCATGGGTACAAATTGCGCTCCGTTATTAGCAGACTTATTTTTATATTCATGTGAAGCAGAATTTATGCAAAATCTCTTACGTGATAAGAAGAAAACACTTGCTGTGGCCTTCAACTCGACATTTAGATATATCGACGACGTATTATCAATTAATAATGATAATTTCCATTCCTACGTCGACACGATATATCCTGGTGAGCTTGAGATAAAAGATACCACAGAATCCGACACTTCTGCTTCATACTTGGATATTTTACTTGAAAAAGACACTAATGGTAATCTAACAACCAAGCTATATGATAAACGTGATGACTTTAATTTTTCCATCGTCAACTTCCCTTACTTATGCAGCAATATACCTTCATCACCTGCATACGGAGTATATATATCTCAGTTGATTCGATACGCAAGAGCATGCTCTACGTATGAACAATTTCTTAAACGAGGTAAATTATTGACAAGCAAGTTGATGAAACAAGAATATCAACAGTCTCGTTTAAAGTCATCATTTCGTAAATTCTATGGTCGATACAATGACCTTGTCAGCAAATACAATTTATCATTGAATGAAATGCTGACTGACGTTTTTCATACCAATTGTTAGTCCATTATTTATACAGTGAATTAACCACGGATTTTTTCCGTTATTTCCTGATTTTGACAACGAGCACACGGCGGGTGTGACCGGTCAGCAGGGGATGCTCACTCCTCCATGGCACCTGATCCCACCTCTGATGTTTCAGGGGTCCGTGTTTGCTCTGCTCTTATTTTGTATATTTGTTTAATGGGCGTTGAGACTGAATACTGTTCGTTATTTCCGTATCCTTCTTTCAACAAAAAATGAATCCTCTTCTCTCCATTTCCTGAAATATTCAGTCTCGTGTTGTGCTAATAAAATATAAAAAAAAATACATAATGAAATACAAAGGTGTGGTGTTACGAGGGTCATTCAAAAAATACGTAGACAATGCTTCTCATCGTCGTATAATTATTACAAGATTATAAATCAACACATTTTCGTAAACATAAACATTTATTTTGTCGAAGTGTGAAGTTTCATTCCATTTGATTAAAAGGAACTCGTATTAGCCAAAATTTAAAACAACATGTTTTGTTACCACGGAGCACGGATAACCAACATTGTAACGTCAAAGACAACGTTGAGAAAGTTTGTCAAAATTATACTGATTTTCTTAATTTCAAATACGGTTTGTAGCGTCTTCTCCATTAAAAAAACATATCCATAACACTTAACACCTAGTTTGCGAACAATTGTACAAATATAGCTTGAAAAAGAAAGTCATTGTTTTCAAATTCTTTAATTTACCATGTAACTCTATTAATTCTGCAACAGTGAAGCACACATCACGTTCAGTGACGTTCCTAACTCTTTCGACAATATTTTTAACTTTAACCTGTTTCTTTGCAGACAATCCATCGTCCGATTCAAACTCGCTACCACTCAAAAATTGTATTTTCCATTCAATACGAACACACAGATTATTTTTCATACAGATCCTGGTTTATACGGATTTTTTAAGCTTGTAAAAGAGGTTTCCCGAATGTAAAGTACAATTTTATTGCTACTTGCTGCTCCGTGACGTCCTCCAACGTCAGGGTTTTTTGCCTTTTTTAATCAAGTCCATATGTATTTAGAAACTGATATCTTTTAAATGGAGCGACATATTACATAACCTGATTTCATTTTAATTAATACAGCAATACTTTATTTAAACATGTTAATTTTATTTCGTTTCAGCTCCATTTATTAGAGCTATGGCTGTAAATACTATAAAGTGAAAATTAGTAAATTTCTCAATTTTGACGGTGCTCCGTGACCCCATTTTTGCTGTTCTAAATCCTTGGTAATTTTAATAAATATGAAGATACATTCCATTTTTTTACTCAAATTATTTGAATCTGTTGTTAAAATATTTGTACCAAATTTGGATATAATATGACGTTAAATTAAAAAGTTAGGAGGAAAGTCTACGAACTTTTTGAATGACCCTCGTACTTTACATCTTTTAAATGTCTTTTTCAACATGTCTATTACATTCATAATCAATTTAAACTTTTTTCTCAGCCTTTGATCGTGATGAATTTAAATAATAGTATATGCACATAGTTTTGAATTGTATGGAATTTTTATTCAGACTAAAAAATAAAATAAAATACCAGAGGAATTTGAATCCCATTCTTTAATTTAAATTTTAACTTTAACACAGGGGTTCTTTTAGTCAATAGAATATTACTTAACATCGAAGTAAGAGGTAGAAAGAGATTTTTCTTAGCTACATATGATGTGATAACTTTGAAACATCAAATCTAAAGACATTTTTTTTTAACCCCACCATTTAAAATTTAATATTCAATAAAATGTTCTGTTTTCTTACAAAATATTTTGACCTTCTTTTTCGATGTGGTTCAATTAAAAAAAAAGTTCATTTTTTAAATGACAT